ATATGAAAGTTTCATTTTTATCATTACATTATGGAAAATAATGACCTTTATCACAATATGCTAATTTTTTGAGAAGGACCTGTATTATGTTATCTAAAATATTCTGAAGAACACTGCGTACAAATCCCCCTGAACATAAGAGGACCGGTGGTGGAAGTGGTCTCCAGCTACAAGTACTTGGGTGTACACCTGAATGACAACCACAGCTGGAGCAACAACACCACCAGCCTGATCAAGAAAGCTCATCAGAGACTCTACTTCCTCAGACGGCTGAGGCGAGCTGGTCTGGGAAGCTCAGTCCTCACCTCCTTCTACAGGTGTGCAGTGGAGAGCATCCTGTGCTCCAGCATCAACGTGTGGCATGGAGGCTGCACAGCTACAGAAAGAAAAGCTTTGCAGAGAGTGGTGAAGGCTGCACAGAAGTCTGTTGGAGTCAGCCTCCCCACCATCACAGACATCTACACCTCCAGATGCAGGAAGAGGGCCACCTGCATCATGAAGGACCTCACTCACCCAGCACACACACTTTTTGCCCTGCTCCCCTCAGGAAGGAGGTTGAGGAGCATTAAGTGTAGAACCACTAGACTGAGGAACAGCTTCTACAATCAAGTTGTTAGACTCATGAATCTCTAACTAGAACAATCACTATGAAAAATCACATCATGTTGCTGCTGATCAGTTTCATGTTGCTGCTGATCTGTTTCAATGTTGATGTGTTCATGCATGCTCATCTGCTCACAGACTCATGTTCATGTTTGTACTGATGTTCAATGTTTTTATGTCATGAGTGCTTAGTGTATATTTAGTTGATGTTTTTCTTAGTTCATATCTTAGATGTTATTACTGTTTTTTCTTATACATTTTATTGTTGGATGTAACTGGGACCCTGTGTACATAATTTCGCTCCACCACATGTACCACATGAGGTGCGAATGACAATAAAGACACTCTGACTCTGACAAATATTTGAGAAATGTAGGTACATTTTCAAGCTGTCTGTAATGAAAATATTGTAGGTTAAATGTTGATTTTTTTTTCTATGACCTATGTCCATTTTTAGAAATCAGAGCAGCCAATGTGCCACACCAATTTTGTTTTATTGGTGAGTATGTATATATATCAGTTTGGAGCTATATATATATATATATATTTTTTTTTTTTCCATTTAAGAAAGTATAACAATAATTGCTTAACCTAATGAAATGTATACGCTTAGGATAACTTTTATGCTTAAAAATTATGTATAAAAGTGCTTGCTCACCATAGAGTTATTATAAGGCTATAGATACTCACTAAAAACAAATTAGTTGTAGTAGCAATATCCTTGTATTCTAACCCCTTTCATTCAACCTTTATTTATACAGGTTAGTCTCCTAACCCTACCCTACTGTTGAACAATGAAAATATGTTCTGACTGTTAGTCCGTGTGTATTTGATGCATGTTTTCATGAGGCGTGTTAGAGATGTAATAATGGAATCAAGCGCACGTAATTACATGCTTTTACTTTGAAAGTATGACGCAGAGAAACGTGCATACGTCAGACGTCGAGACGTCACGGTTGCTGTGGAGGATCTTATGCGCTGTCTGGCTGTGAGTGAGAGCAGAAAACGGTCTCCTCCGTTAAGTTCTGGCGGTGGTCGGGAAAGTTACCAGAGAAACGGTTTTTTTTTTTTATCCGACCAGCACCGCCTTAACCCGGGTCTCAGACATACGTCAGAAGAGTCGGAGCCGAACCTGTTCGTGTCGACGACGAGTCCCGTGTAACGGAGAGAAACCAGCTCGATAACGGACTTTCGAGGTAATGTTAGCTACCTTTAGTTAGCCGAGGCATTTCGGTCATTTACAGCTGGCTCGGCTCGGTTCGGTTTGTTCTTGGTGTTGAGTAAAACGAGATGAAACGGTGTTTGGATGAGTTTTTAGCTGGTCCGGGCTGAGGTGTGTGAATATAAAGGAGCCATTGATCGTCGGGCGGGACGTGGCTGAAGAAAAGCCTCTTTATTTACCTGTAAACTGGTGAAAAACATAAGTTTGGATCAGAACATGAAACTGTTCAGACATGCTATGGGGGTTTAACTTCTCTTTCTTTTTATCCATTTGTTGATCTTTCCCAGTTTAACCTAAATCATCCCATTTGATTTGTAAAGATAACGCATCTAAATTGCTTTTTAACAGTTCTCCAGTTAAAGCTGGGATTACTGAGATGTTTGAAAACATTAAAAAAAGTCAAATAAATCCACAGCCACTTTGATAACTGCTGTATAATTAGCTTTTTAGTGATTTCTGACCTCAAATTGTGTGGAGGTCTTTCATTTCTGCAGAGCAGAGTTCTTACTCAACTTATAAATGAGGCTTGATGTCAGCTGTAACAAGGTCACTATTTATTCCCCCAGATGTTCCAGATAAAGAGGATCTGTTGTATTGGAGCTGGGTACGTCGGTGGTCCAACATGCAGCGTCATCGCTCACATGTGTCCAGAGATCACGGTGACCGTCGTGGACGTCAACGAGTCTCGCATCAAAGCCTGGAACTCTGACACACTGCCCATCTACGAGGTACGATATCAGCGGTGCCGTGTGGTTAAAAACGGAGGCAAAGGTAACACAGGATTATTTACAGCCTCTGGTAAAAGTTTAACTGGGGGCAGTTGGCCACAGTTCACCAGAAGCTGTGCTGGTTGACTCTTTGACACACCTGGATGAAGCCAGTAAGTTTTAACTCACATTTACAGACACTGAGTTTAAATACATCCCAGTATGGCATGATTGTGCACAACCAGGGCTTAGTTTGTCAACCGATCGACGCCAGAATGCAAATAGCGAGCAGAACGGTTGGGGGGGGGGGGTCCTCCCCCAGAAAAAATTTGAATAAAGTGGATGAGATTTCCTGCATTTTGGTGTATTTTAACAAGTTGTTAAACATCTACATTTACCTACAATTGTAAACACTTTGCTTCTGTCAAGCACACTACCAACCCCCTTACTTGACGGTTCCAAGCCGACTCTTCTCCGCTGAATTCACTGTCCGACTCCACATGTGAAACCTCCAGGGGCCTCCTCCTGGCTCCTGCCCACGTACGACTGCCTGGTTAGCTCGACACTCACCCCCACCACTCTTAGGGGGGAGATTTTTTTAAGGGTAGAGGCGGAAATGCAACTTGAAGTGGCAGCTCGTATGTGATATTAAGAAGTCGTAAGTGGCTGTTGTGTTTAAAATTAGTGTTTATGTAATTTTTTTCAGTTTACATATCCAATAAGTTTTATTTGTTCAAGGCAGTCATATTTCTTCATAAAGTTATTATTAGTAAGCCCGAGAGTTAACGGATCCAAGCAAACAGTTACCAGAGTGCACCCTGTAAAAATAAGAGAGTTCCTGGATCCTGTTCTGGCAGGATCCGGCTCAAATTAAGCCCTGCGCACAACGTAGTCTTAAGATTTTACCCAAATAGCAAAAACGCCATCATTGGTCACCATAAGATGATCTTAGTTTAATTCTGTCATGAAAGGCACTCCTTCAAGGAACGCTCGGCAAGTTATTATTTAAAAGCCACGTCTCAGGAGACTTGTCTGTTTAAGAAGTTTCTCTTGGTCGCAGTAGTGAGTCAGGAGACGTTTCTAGGCGGCTGCTTCAGTCGTGGTTGCTCTGGACTCTCTGAGCTCTCACAGACCAAATGACACATAATTAGTTCCAGACTCTGTTGCAAGTTTTTTAGCGTCAGCTCAGACCACAAGGTATTGCATCATCGTTACTACTCTTGGTCTTTGTTAACATGTCTCACATCTGTGGCGTGTTCCTCCCCCCCCCCCCCCCGCACTTTCACTGATAAACTCTCTCACTTCCTGTCATTTCAGCCAGGACTGAAAGAGGTGGTTGAATCATGCCGAGGAAAGAATTTGTTCTTTTCCACAGACATAGACTCAGCCATCAGGGACGCTGACCTCGTCTTCATCTCTGTGAGTCTCTCGCTCTGGTCTGAGCACACCTCACACTGAACCACTGCGTCAAAACCGTGTCAACATGCCGTGACTTCACCTCTTCCACAGGTGAACACCCCAACCAAGACCTACGGGATGGGGAAGGGTCGGGCAGCGGACCTGAAGTTCATCGAGGCGTGTGCGCGGCGGATCGTAGAGGTGTCCGACGGCTACAAAATCGTCACGGAGAAGAGCACGGTCCCGGTGCGAGCTGCCGAGAGCATCAGGCGGATATTTGACGCCAACACCAAACCCAGCCTCAACCTGCAGGTCTGCCCTTCCACACATTCACAGCTCTCTATCAGTTTTTTCTTGTTTCTAAACGTATGAAACTGTTTTAGGTTCTGTCCAACCCAGAATTCCTTGCAGAAGGAACAGCGGTGCGGGATCTAAAGGAGCCGGACCGCGTCCTGATCGGTGGGGATGAGACAGCTGAAGGTCAAAGGGCAATCAAAGCGCTGTGTGCCGTGTACGAACACTGGGTCCCCAAAGCACGGATCATCACCACCAACACGTGGTCGTCTGAGCTCTCCAAACTGGTGAGGAAGAACCCGTTCAACCGTCCATAATGGATCATTTTAATGAACCTGAAGATTTCTTTATATTTATTTAACAAATATCATCAACTTAGTTGACTAAAATAAAATGCTGCAGCTCCACAGATTTACCATCTCAGTTGTAGAAATAAAGCCGATGATAAAACCAAAACCCTCCATGTTTGGTGAATTTAAACATTCCCTGCTGCTGTGCGCAGGCAGCCAATGCCTTCCTGGCTCAGAGAATCAGCAGCATCAACAGCATCAGCGCTCTCTGCGAGGCCACCGGGGCTGACGTGGAGGAAGTAGCCAAAGCCATCGGTATGGACCAGAGAATAGGCAGCAAGTTCCTCAAAGCCAGTGTTGGTAAGAAGCTTCACCTCTAAATACTGAAACTTGTTAGACGTGGTGACATTTAGTGGCAAAAAATAAATTAAATCCCTGAGACCGCAGCTATCTGAATATATTATCTTTTATTCAAGCGTGTATTAGAGTATGTGTAAAGATTAAAATACTTTAGAGGAGTTCTGTGATCCTCAGTGTTACTGTACCAACCCGCTGGATGAACTTAAACAACCGATTTGTGGCTCGTCCATCCAGGTTTTGGTGGCAGCTGTTTCCAGAAAGACGTGCTCAATCTGGTGTATCTGTGCGAGGCCCTCAACCTGCCCGAGGTGGCTTCCTACTGGCAGCAGGTGAGGAACGAGTACAGCTCTTCTGGAGGGTTGGGCTCCCTGTGGTTTACGTGCTGGGTCTGGTTTCTCTCAGGTGATCGACATGAACGAGTACCAAAGACGGCGCTTCGCCTGCAGGATCATAGACTGTCTCTTCAACACCGTCACCGGCAAAAAGATTGCTCTGCTGGGCTTCTCTTTCAAAAAGGACACGGGTGACACCAGGTCAGTCTCATCAGTTCTCCATTTCATTTTAATAAATCCATCTGATAAAACCTTGTAAAACTGACCTCTGTGAGTCAGAGTGCAGGTAAACTTGCAGAATCACTGCTGACCTTTTCCCACTACTTGGAAGAGTACAAAGTAGTTTGCCGTGAACTATCACCCTGATCAGTTTATGCTTCCGTTTGTTTCGCAACTGCAGAGAGTCGTCGAGCATCTACATCTCCAAATATCTGATGGACGAAGGAGCCAAGCTCTTCATCTTTGACCCCAAGGTTCTTAAAGAGCAAATTATTCATGACCTCTCGCAGCCCAACATCTCGGAGGACAACCCTGAAAGAGGTGTGTGATGGTTTATTGCATGTTAGTGTTTATTCAGGCTAACAACGTGTGCTCTAAAAGGAGAGGATTAGTTGAACTGTTGTTAACCAGTTATCTTCTCGTGAGCTGGAGGTTCAGTCAGGTCAGCACAAAGCATGAAAGCACTCTGTTAGGACCTGAGCTCGTTGCACAGCTTTGAAATAAAACAAGCAGAGATGCATCAAGGCGTGCAGTTCCATCGAGAATAACATGCTGTGACTTTATGTAGCGGTACACTAAATATTAATTAGAAATTTTAAATTAAAAAAACTGCACGAGAAAAACTGGAAATCAATGGGATTTTAGTGAAACGCGTGAGAAACTTCTTGGAGCTCCACAGCTCGGACGGACTTCACAGCAGAAACATAGTTCAAGGTTTAAACGGTCACAGAAAGATGGACTTTATCATTAGCTGTTTTCAGAACAGAAAACATCTTAAATCTTTTTGATTCTTATTTAACTTTTCTACTACTTCTCCTTTATTTGATACACTAAAGGCTCCCACATGCTCGGGCATACTGTGTACTCCATGACACTGTCCGCAGACGGTTGAGACTTCATACTCCAGCATCCACCCTGACGGGCTGCAGACCAGCTCTGCAGGCAAGGGGCGTTTACCCTCAGGACAAATTGAGGTCACCGATTGGTCATTTGCTGACACCTACTGGATCGATTGACAGGTCACCAAAAAAAAAAAAAAAAACGAGAGGCAGCCCAAAACAGTCTGTCGCCGGGCAGTTTGTTGTGCGACACGGAGTACGTGTATGTGCTCATAAAAATTGATCTTTGCACGGACATGGCTTGCAGATGTCCGCTTCGAGATCACGTCGAGTCTAATCGGGTACGCATGGACCTCTGCGGAGTGAAGTACGTATGTGGCAGCCTTAATGTCGCCATTAATATTTTTCATTTCAAGGACAGGTTGTGATGCTGTTGCACCGTATGTACAAGTACAGACGTTAATCATTAATATCCTGAGTCTGAGATAAGGTTTAAGATAAAAAAAACAATTTGTTGTTGCCACTCAGATTTTAAAAAAAATGTCTCCAAGCAGCTAAACGGGTTGTTGGTTCCCCAGCTTGGAATGAGCTGAACAAAAAATTCAGACCAGCAAAAAATAATATTTTTTAGGGGAGGCAGAATAAAAGCTGATGGATTTGTAATCATCAGTCCGTATTATCGAAAGGTGGGCGATAATGTTTTTCTGTGAGCTCGATGGTGTACTTAACAAAATATCTCCTAATCCACTGGATGAGTGATCCCGAAACGTTCAGGGAATAATCATCTCACCTGAATAACCTTTGCAGCCAACCCAATCCAAGATGGCTGCCACAACCAATTGAAAACATTAAAAATTTGCCATAATTCTTTCAGCGTCACCGATTTTGAACAATTTGACGTAACTGTTGAAAGACATTCACACCATGTACTTAGGAGGGTGATGTTATTTTCAAACGTTGACAAAAACACCTACACAATGATTTTATTTAAAACGCAGGTTTAAGGCTGGCGGGCAACGTGATTCTCTAAAGTAACGCCACGTGTATCGTTTGGAGCAGTCATCAGTGTTTCTTTATGGTTTAATAATTTGTAATTTTGGCTCGTGTGTCGTCTTGAGGAGGTCGTTCCCAAACAGTTCACTTCCTGTTTTGATTTCAGTGTCGGAGCTGGTGACGGTGACGTCTGACCCTTACGAGGCGTGTCAGAGCGCTCACGCTCTGGTCATCTGCACCGAGTGGGACATGTTTAAGGTCACGATCACGTTCAACTCCTTGAAGTCTGACGACTGAGCTGAAACGTTCAGGTTTGTAACTGTCCCCACCCCCACCCGCAGGAGCTGGACTACGAGAAGATTTACAAGAAGATGCTGAAGCCGGCCTTCATCTTTGACGGCCGCAGGGTGCTGGACCACCTCCACGCTGAACTCCAGTGCATCGGCTTCCAGGTGAGCAACATGGGTTTAACACGGGTACGGTGCATGGAAGACACAACGCTGACCTCCTCTCTGACTGCAGATCGAGACCATCGGGAAGAAGGTGACCACGACGAGGATCCCCTACACCCCCGCAGCCGTTTGTGCTCGCACCCCAGCCAGCGAACCCCCCACCAAGAAGGCAAAAGTCTGAAGCGGAGACGTCAACACATTCCTCTCTCCACCTTTTCATTTCAACAGCAGGGAGGGGGGTCTGAACAGTGTCCTCCCCCCGTTAGCTGACCCGTGTGAGCAGCTGCTTCTCTGCAGAGGACGGAGGGGGCTGAAATAAACCAGCTTTCATTTAAAAACCTTCCAGTACGCCCAGCGCTAAACCAGTACACCGTTTTGATACCGTTTATATCCCAGCTCCTCCACGTCCATTCTGTAGATCCAAACACGAGGCGACTTCTTACTGTAATCGAGTTTTATTCCTAATGGCAAAATTTTATACGATTTTTGTTACAAATATTTTTGTATAAATCATCTTACTGTATGTTAATCTTCAGCATCACCAACTGTTTACTTACAAAGGGCCAATGCAATAAACTGATGTTTGTCTTTTGATTTGTTCATTATTAATCTGAGGTTGGAAAAATGATCTGAAAAGCACCAAATATATAATAAAGACTTTTAATTGTTTAGATAAACACATTTTAGAGATTAACTTCATTTAAAACGACCATATGCACGTCCTTAACTGGTAAAACACCTTCACGAGCTGCTTCAGTGGTTTCCCCTCCTACACTTTTATAACGTACACAACTTCCCTCCTGAGTGTTTGAAAGATGATCAGCCATTATCAAACAATCCAGGCCCAGCGGAACTGGTTGTGGAGGTTGTACTGGGAGTAATTTAACGCCTCCTGAACACGAGATGTGAAAGTACTCTCCTGTCCTCAGCAGGTTGTATTTTCTCCTGACGGTGACATAATCTGCTCACCTGAGTCACCTCTGGATGTTTTCTGTGGTTCAGCTGCCACAGGTGGAGACTTCAGAACAAGAGCTGCTCCGAGATCAGTTTCATGTCACCGATGCACAAATCAGCACTTTTTTATTCTTATTGAAATATATTAGTTTTTTCTTGTCAGAGTCGATGCTGGAAGAAATGACTGGAAACTTTTCAATCTGTTGCAGCGATTTCTGTTTTTCTCTTTTTAAGTAGATTCTTCAAGAAGAATTCACCTGTGAAGGAATAAAAAAGATAAAATTATTTCTACCTTTGTGTTTGTAAAAGATTCTTATTTAACAGAAAAACTGAATACAATAGCCATGAAGGGTTTTGTTTTTTGGAATTACCGATCTGCTATGGAAGGTGTGTGACCACTTATGTCTGAGTGTTAGCAAAATATCTCATAAAGGACTGGATGGATTATACTGAGACTGTCAAGTGAAGATAAACTAATTCAAAATGGCTGCCACAGCTACCTGACCCCTGCAGACACAAACCTCGGTAACTTAAACTCAGGTTTGGTGTGGTAGTAGCTGAGAGTCATCCACACCTCAGTCTGAGAGCTAACAGATCCCACGTCTTGAGTTAAAATTCTAGCGAGCAAGATGGAGGGAATTTTATTTTATTTTTTTAGTAAAATGTCTGTTTTTAAATGAGTGGACTAAAAACATGAGTTTACTTGTTGAGTTTTTTTACTTTAGCTACACGATTTCTGAAAACACATTTGACTCGTCGTGAACGACAGGATGAGGACTCCTCACCTGCTTTGTAGGAGGAGCGGACCAGCGGCCCACTGGCTGTGTAGATAAAACCCATTTCATTCCCCACGTTCTCCCAGTGGGCAAACCTTTCAGGAGTGACGTATTCCTCCACCTAAACCCAAACACACACATCGCCTCTGATATCAGATATTTTCCTGACGCAGCTGCGCCCACGTTAAATGGGGATGTGTTGAGGTTTACCTTCAGGTGGCGCTTCGTGGGCTGCATGTACTGTCCCAGTGTCAGACAGTCCACTCCGGCCTCTCGCAGCTCTGTGACATCAACACACCGTCGCTGTCAGAAAACTGCAGGAACAGTGTGTGTGTGTGTGTGACTGCAGCTTCTACACACCCCTCATAGTGTTGATTATCTGCTGCTCGGTCTCCCCCAGTCCCAGCATGATGGAGGTCTTGGTGAGCACGCCGGGTTGGACCATTTTGGCGTGTTTGAGGACGCTCAGAGACTGGTCCAAGTTTGCTCTGGGGTCACGGACGTACCTGGAGACAGGTTATACTCATCAGTAGCAGGTAAGAGAAATCTAAAGTCAAAGGAAACAAGTTCAACTACAATGTTTTCATTCTTCAAGCTCAACCACATTTAATTAATAAATGTGATCTGCTGCCACCTGCTGGTCGGAGTGGGCTACAGCCCGCATTTCTGAGACTGAAATCTGTTTAAGGTTCACTAATGAGAAATCAACAAGCTTAAATAAATACCTTCCTGAGCAGTGGACTGGGAATTAAATGTTATATCTGTCGACTGTGTGGAGGTGACAAGGAAAATATGTTTATCCTAAAAAAAAATATCAGTGATCCTCATTTAGAACTTAAATAAATGTTGGTATCTTGATCTCCAAACTTAACGGTTGTTCCATAAATATTCAGCCTGCTGGATTTTTATCAACCAAATGTATCCCTTTCAAATAATAACTTGTATGATTCTTAGAATAAGTGACAAGATGTTCCCACCTCTGTGCCATATTTATTTTCATGTTTTGTCTGAAGGCATTAGATACACAACTCATCCTGGATTGAACAAGAATTGGACAATAAAAGTAAAGTGCTGTGTGTTATCATCCTTGTATGTTCCCATACAATGGTGAAATTAGTTCTCTGCATTTAACCCATCACACCTGGGAGACACTCAGGTGGAGCAGTGGGCAGCTATGCAGGTGCCCAGGGAGCAATTGGGGATTAGGTGTCTTGGTACTGGTATATGTGGAAAATGTTTGCACGGCTGTCAAGGCCAGTATGATGCGAGTGAAGGTGGACAATAAAATAATGTGCGCAGCCAAGAATGTAGTTTTGTGAGCCGTGCACATAAAAATCGACCGTGATTTTCAAAAACCGGTCGTTCAAAATGTCACTACGTGACCTGCTGGTCAAAACCTCAGAATCCTGCAAGACTGCAACAACAAAATGTGGCATTCTTCAACCGTCGCAGCCGACTGGGACCGTGGGGTTCAATGTGCACGAGCATTTCTCTCTAGTCATAATTTAAACAAATGTAATGAATTTTAAATTTTATGCTTCTTCATGCAACTTGTGATCCCTGAAGCATTTTATGCAAGCGAGGCGTCAAATGTTCCCTTTTTTTTTACTAAAACCCAGCTGTGCTGAACTAAACCTGCAGCACACCCGTCTGGTGAAACGCCGAGGCAAAGTGCTTCTTTTGAATACCGTTGCAGCTCCCGCACCGTCTCCACGTTGTGGGCGTACACGTCTAACCCCGACAGGGCGATCTGCTCTACGGCTGCCAGGTCACCACGGAAATCTGGGGTCAGACATTCAACCAGGATCTGAGGGTTTCTGGATGAATGTGACAAAAACAAAAAAACACTAAGGAGTGAAGTGCTTGTGCCAAATAACAAACGAGCCATCCAGAAGAGTTTTACCTTTCCTTCAGGTTAGAGACAGTCTTAGCAAAATGTGCTGCTCCTCCATCTGCAATGTCTGTCGGTAAACATCGTGATCGGATCAGAACAGACTCGTGGTTTTGGTCGCGGCTGACTTTAAACTTTTTTACCGTCTCTGTCGACCGAGGTCAGAACCACGTAGTCCAGCCCCCAGGCAGCGATGGCCTCGGCTGTGTTGTACGGCTCGTTTGGGTCCAGAGGAGGAGGCTGACGGGCCGTCTTCACGGAGCAGAACCTGCACCCACGGGTGCACGTGTCTCCCATCAGCTACATGCAGACACAAAGTGAGAATCTTCTGCTTCAGACACGTTCTAACATGAAGACATCAAAGTTTGGTTCTACTAATCGCTGCGCTTTGTTTTAATAATGGGCAGTGAATCAGAGACTCACCATGATGGTGGCTGTAGCTGTGGCGTACTCTCCCCCTCCCCAACATTCCCCGATGTTTGGACACCTGGCCTCCTCGCACACCTGAGAAAACGCACGGAGATATTTCAGCGGTTATCTGTAGGCGCTGTCGGAAAGGTTGAATCTTTGATGTTACTGGAGTCAAACTGATCAAGTGTCAGTTTGTTCCTCCTCGTTCATTTAGTTCAGAACGTGACGGGGTCTGGGTCTTCTGACGCTCACCGTGTGCAGGTTCAGGCCTCTCAGTGTGTTCTTCAGACGGTTGTAGTTCTTTCCGATGGGGATCTCCGTCTTCAGCCACGGAGGAAGCCTCAGCCTAAGGACAACGCAGAGCAATCAACAGACGAATTCATCAATTAACTAAATATCTGTGGCCTGTGCTGCCAAAACCAATCAGACTGGGCCCAGTCTGCAGCACAAAAAGCACAGATTTTTGCTGTAACTGAGATTTGTGTAAAGATTTAGTCCATAAAGACCCCACCTACACATCCCAGTAACTAAAATGACACGAACGTCCTGATCCACCTTTATACTCTAACAGGTATGTCTTCAGAAACAATCCTTTGTCTTACAACTCTTATAATTATTTTAGAAGTTTACTGTAGGTTTTTTTCTGCCAGCTGCTGTAGCAACATGAAACCTGCCACATGATGTCTTCAAAGTGAAGCTTTTAAATAAACATCTGGATTTACCCGTTTCATCAGTCCAGACCATTTTAAAAAGTTTTAGAACAGCCTTATCGAAAACAAACCTTGCTTGTTGCCAGGCCAGCTGATAATTCACCAAATTTAAACAAACTACGTCTCATTTTGAAGCTTTTAAAATGGAGAATTTGTGAAAAACTACATTTTGAAAAATTCCTTATTGTGATTCATTTTGCTGTTCTGCATAACGTAAATGTAAACGTATATTAAACGTAATGTTAATGTAACTTAACATATATTCTTTAATATACCGTATTATTTTACATTATTAGTGTATATCTTAGATCCTTGTATACCGACTCTTTTTATACTTTATGTTTTTGTTATTTTTGGGTGTAACTGGGACCCTGTGTACACAGTTTTGTTCCACCTCGTGTACCACATGTGACGTGAATGACAATAAAGAACCTTGAACTTTTTGGTTGTATAGATTTAAACACTTTGTTTGATTAAGCAGGAATTCTACAACAGAATAAAGATTGTGTAAAATAAATGAACCAGCACTTTGTTCCGGTCGGTAAGACCTGTTTGAGCAAACTGTTCAGTCTGCAATCTCTCTTCTCTGCTCAAACTACTGAAAACCATTTAAAACATGATGCTACAGACAAGGTGCTGCAGAAATAGCCAGTTAATTATATTTTAGTGATTAGAAGAGCTTTAAAACTTTAAATAAACTCCTTTGTACACAGACCCTCAGTGTAATGTAGACCAGTTAAACGATTTATACTCAACATCAAACTAATACTCCTTTAGTCCATCTTCGACTGAGCTTGAAACAGAATTGTTTTTTGAATATTTTATTCCACACTGTTTGGATGCTGTGCTGTATTGATGGTTTTACTTCGCACCTTTCTAAAGTTGAGGTAATGATCAGAACAGGACCCAGAAATCTCAACAAGTTGAAGAAACGACGATGTGAACGAGGGGCAGGAGCGAAACGAGGAAGATGGTGTGCACGTTTCTTGCCTTTGATTGCCATGAACACAAGATCAAGTTGATTGACTTTTGCATCACATGTGGTACACGAGGTGGTACAGGAATTATGTACTCGGGGTCCCAGTTACACCCAAAAATATCTAAAATATAATGTATAAAAATAAACAGTATATAAGGATCTAAAATAAACTGCTTCTTTTTGTACTTTATTGCTATTTTTGACTTTGGTGTTTCTGAATATAAAGTGACTGGAATGATGATGGTCTCTGGTGTTACTGGGGTCACTGGGAGTGCGTCTTGGCTTCAGGAGCATCTTTTGACTGACAGGGACTGCAGACAGAGCGGGAGGTGTTTTAACAGGGACTCGTTTAAAGTGGTGACACTAATCTTAATGATTCAGCCCTGACATGAACACCTGACAGGTGACTTCCTGAACCCCGTGTACCTCTCTCCTTTCAGTCTCCTCAGGTTGCCTCGGTACTCGGCCCACTTGCTTTTCTCCGAAAGTTCTCCTGAAATAAAGTCCCGCAGGTCGGGCCCATCTTGGCTCAGGAGCTCCTTCTTCCTCTCGGCCTGGTCCGGAGAGGACTCTGATGCGGTTGACAGACAGCTTGTGTAAGCCTAAAAACGAACGGAGAAGTTTCCATTTGGCTTTTTGTGAAGTTGGGAACAACAAGCGGTCAGTCTGAGTTTACCCTTTGCTCGCGTCGCCTGAGTTTTACCTCCGTGAAGGCACCCACTGCGACATTAATCCCGGTTTTAGAGAGTATTCGAGCACCGAGGTTAAACACTCACATGTGAGATGGATCTGGGGCTCAACCGTAGGTGGTTTGTAGAAAACCGAGCCGTCACACAGCAGCAATGTTTCAGCAGCTCCATGACTTTAGCATGCTAGCAGCAAGTACCCGGCGATCGTCTTTCTTTGCTCGGCTGCTCTGGTCTGGTGCTGCATTCAAGATGTAATAACAAAGTTGGAAATGTAATAATATAATCATAAAAATGTCAATAATAAAGACTCATTTATATCTTATGATTTTGCTTATCCTTATATAACAAATAAATGTACTACTTATAATGATGTAGTAACATTATTTGGTCTACAAGGATATTTTCCCCTCTCTTAGAAAATGAAAATTGAAGTTTGTCCGACGAACTTTAAATGCAGCCAACGAAACAACAACCCCAAATCCCCGGACTTTAAAACATTTGTTTTGTTTTGTAGCTTGTTTCATTTCACTATGAAAGAGCTTTACTTGTTTCCGTCACATATTGTATCTACTAACGCGCTCCAGAGAATTAACGCGTTAAATTTAAAGCTGATCGACTGTAATGCCTGACGTACGTGCGCTACAATTGCGTCGTGACGTCCTTCCTTCTTCCTTTCCTCTGCTACCGGCGAGGTGAGGATAGCTGTAGAATTGTTTCAAGATTTTCATCTAACCCCATCTGACTCAGTTAAACACAGTTTTAGTCCAGACTCATAAAGCCTGATGTGGATTGTATTACATCTTACATCTTGAGCCGTATTTTGCACTTGTTCTGTGGTTTAGTGGAGAAAAATGAGTTTCAGTCGATTGACAGTCTGAGGCCTGGCGTCTGTTATTGTAAATGTCGGCTGCTATTATGACTTATTTAAAACTAACATTTGTCTTTGTTTGGGTAGCATTTTCGAGCACACATATGTCAAATAAAGGCTTTTTTTTTTAAGTCTGAGAAACGACGGGAGTAGCTGCAGAGTTGCGTTAGCATCAGCGCTAACCATAGTTAGCAACACATTGAACCTAGCTACGTTTCATTCACCATTTGCTCTTGGTTTATCTGTAAATAAATTCATAATACACAAGTGAATAATTTGTGAAACCTGAGTCTCCTGACACTGTTCACCTACATTTAAAGTTGTTTACCTGCTCTGACAAAGTTTGTTGAGACTGAAACTTGTCTGATTTCAGAATGAAGACCATTCTCAGCAGCCAGACTGTCGACCTCCCCGACAATGGTACGATGATGCTGCTCCTCGGGTCAAATGTTGTTCTGTTTCTTACGGTCCTGGGTGTTTTACTGAATATTCCCTCTGTGCTGTGTGTCTGCAGTCGAAGTGAGGTTAAAGGGGCGAACAGTGACTGTAAAAGGGCCCCGGGGTACGCTCACCAGGGAGTTCAACCACATCAACCTGGAGCTCAGCCTGCTGGGCAAGAAACAGAAGAAGGTAAGAGATTTAACAATCGTGGGAGGCAGGCTTGAATGCAAATGCTGCTTTTCAGTGTGGCTTGAACATTCAATATATGCTCAAAATAATTGCAGAGGTTGTCAAGTATTGTGGATGGATACAAAAACTTTGTTAAAGCTCCGCTCCATGCCCCTTGAAGAGAAGCAAAAGGTACTGAAGCTCATTAAAAAGCTCTCCCAACTGGACTTTTGTCAACGCGCTGCAGAACAGCGAGGACAAGTTGTCATCTCGTGTGTCGCTGTAGTATCTGAAAAACAAAAAAGATTTTCTCCAACCACGACATCCCTGTTCATTTCAGTCCGAACAGGACTCGGGCAGATGCTGGTCCAACCTAAAAACAGAACCACTGAGCCCAAACTGAGTGGCGTGGTGTCTGCAGTTCGTTGCAACGAGATATTCAGACTTCTTTATTGGAGAAGCTAACGGACACATGGCTCAACACAGAAAAAACACCCCTTCAGGACGAGACTCAGCTGTATACCTACACCTCTTAGACAAGGGACGCTCGATGACTAAAACATACAAGTTTTGGTTGGAAAACACAGATTGTTTGCAAGGGGGTGAAAAGGAAGCAATTTTAGTGAAATGTGGGGGGGTGGACAGGACTGTGAAGCTGTTACTCATGAATCTAACCAGGATAATCACTGTGAAAAATCACATCATGTTGCTGCTGATCTGTTTCATGTTGCTGCTGATCTGTTTCATGCTGCTGTGTTCATTCATACTCGTCTGCTCACACAGACTCATGTTTGTGCTGCTGTTTGGTGTATTGTTTTTATGCTACTAGTGCTTAGTGTGTTTTTAGTTAATGTTTTTCTTTTATATTTTAATACTCTTGTTGGATGTAACTGGGACCCTGTATACACAATTTCATTCCACCACATGTGGTGCGAACGACAAAGATCCTTGAACTCTGCCCTAGCCTAACTGCATACTTTAGATTTTTACGTTTTTTTGTAGCAAGTTTGTAGCAAATCACAGTATGATCAAATGTGCCAATGATTTTCTTTTTCTTCCCCAAAACAAACTGGTACCAAAAGTGTAATGAAACTAATCAGGGTCTCTGTTGTCTTCCTCAGCTTCGTGTAGATAAATGGTGGGGAAACAGGAAGGAGCTGGCTACAGTGCGCACTATCTGCAGCCACGTCCAGAACATGATCAAAGGCGTTACTCTGGTGAGACTTGTGTTCAGTGAAATGACTCCAGAGTGTCCAGCCTCTGTGACAGGATGAATGTTTTGTTTGGATTTACAACTTTCTGCTGCTGATTTAAAAAAAATTATATATATATTTATATATATATATTTAAAAAAAAATTATATATATATATATATATATATATAAAAGCTCAGTGCTCGCTTGTCATTTTCTGCAGGGTTTCAGGTATAAAATGCGATCTGTGTACGCCCATTTCCCCATCAATGTGGTCATCCAGGAGACTGGGGCTCTGGTGGAAATCAGGAACTTTTTGGGAGAGAAGTACATTCGTCGCGTCAGAATGAGGCCTGGTGAGTCTGATGCACACTGTGGAAGTTAAGAGAACACCTGTGAAAAGTCTAAATTTATGCAGTAGAGGTGTCCTTTATTAAATAATTTTGCATCTTTAAAAGATAGTTTTAATTGACCTTAGAGATTCTCTTATGGGTATCACTCTTAACTAGATGCAAGGTTGCGGTGGGTCACCATATGCCATCAGTGTTTCCCCTAGTTAACTTGCCATGGCGGGGTGCTCATCTCATCCATGATTTTTGCTGATGGGAGGGACGGAGACATGTCTGAGCGAGCTTGTACTAACAGTTTTTGAGTGGGGGCGTTCAACATGAGGGAAGAGGCCATTTGAGTGCTGCCTTGGGCTTTTTAGCTAGAGCCTGTATTTTGTGCCGTTACCTATGTGATATGTCAGTGCCGGGTGGGAGGGGCAAGTTCATTTTGGTAGGCGGGGTGCTCAGTTTTGTTGGCGGGGTGGGGCACCCCGCCTGTATAATGGTAGGGGAAACACTGCCGTCACATTAAGCTGTGACAGCTTCTTACCTAGGCCTTAGTTCGATGATTGACTTTTTGTTGTCGTCCCATCTGATCTGCGGCCGCATGTCTTTGGACACTCAGGTGAAGAGAGGGGCGGAGCTGTCCACTGACCACTACGTGGTGATGAGTTGGCTCTGATGGTGGGTGTATTATGAAATTCTTTATCAAAAGGGCTCGTGAACGGTCGGCACAGATATTCAGACAAATGGGGAAAAATAAAAGACAGAGGCTGTTACTGCTAGGAGTAATAAGTGTCCTTTATTAACCTGCCACAGAAAACAGCCAAGCAAAAAAACATGTACACTCTTAACACACAAATTGATATGAAATAACTTCTCACCGTGACACTGGCCGGGAAGTCGTTTTCGACCCAGGTAAAGAAGAATCACATCAAAATGGCGCATGGCACCAGCGCGTGCTGATCCATCACAGGACTTCCGACTTCCTGTGTTTGCTACATTTCTTATATACCTTCCCTGATCGCGTGAGAGCAGTGATGGTTGCCAGGAGGGCAGATTTAATTAAATCTGTTTTTCCTTCATCAAAGCAGTCTGTGCAACAGAGCGATGGTTTCATAAAAAAACATGTCCTTCAAAACCTGGGTCACTGTAACCTGAAGATTGGGCCCGATCTTCTGGCTAGAGCATCCCCAGAGAACTTTAATTACTCCAAAACACATCTGCAGCACAGGAATGACTGAATAAGCAGATAAGCTGCATCAAAAGTGAGTATAAGTGTGTTTAAATAAGTGTAATATAGGTATAGATTGACATAAAAGCATTAAAATAATCATTTCTATATCATTCCACCCTTGCTTTTATGGCAATTTTAGACATTTAATTCTGAATAAATAACACACACAAAATGTATATGTTTGAATAGGCATAAAGGCAACTTAACACCTTATATTTTCATATCAGTGGGGGAGGATGCTGGTCAACCTGGCAGGCCCAAATGTATTGTGAGGGTCTGCTGGGAACGTCTGGCAGAGTCTCCTGTGAGACAGCGCTTTAACTCCCACCTCCGGGGGAACTTCGAACACGTTCCGGCAGAGGTGGGGGACATTGAGTCCGACTGGGCCATGTTCCATGCCTCCATTGTCAAGTTAGCTTATCGGAGCTGTGGCTGCAAGGTTGTTGGTGCCCATTGCAGCAGTAACCCTCAAAACCCGGTGGTGGACACCAGCGGAGAGGGATGCTGTCGGGCTGAAAAAAGGGGTCGTCTCGGGCCTTTCTGGCCTTTGGGACCCTGGAAGCAGCTGATGGTACCGGCAGTCCAAGCAGCATGCAGCTCCGGGTGGTCGCTGAGGCAAAAATTCAGGTGTGGGAGCAGTTTGGAGAGGCCATGCAGAATGACTTCCACGCGGCTTCGAGGCGATAAATCACGCAGGCGATGGAAAGTCTGTTTTTCGTACACAATGAGCCAGACATGCAACAGTTAGAGGTGCACTGATCCAATATCAATATTGGTGCCGATATTTATTTATTTTATTTATTTTTTTAATTATTATTATTGGTTTATTTATTTTTTTATTTTTTAAAGAAAAGAGCTTCTGGATCGGGTATCGTTGACAATGTAACTAATCCATGACTGCATATCTATTCACTATAATTCTATGCTTTGTGCTCTGAGTCACGACACGTGTTAGTGTACTGACTGAACAAATTAAAGTTGTGTTGTTTTTACATGTTTGACAAAGCTTGTGAAGCTCTTGGTGTGTGTGCTGTTATGGTGCAGAGTTTTCAATAAATTTCTAATTCAGTACCTTCATGTCTGCGTTTAACAAAACAAATGTTTTAAGTTAATTCAGCACTGGGTTTGTAAGCTCAAACATCCAGCTAGACAACAAAAAATGTCTAAATCATGTCATCTGGACCTGTTTCAGAAATGGGTCCAGATGACATGATTTAGCCATTTTTGTTAATTCAGCACAGTTTTTTCAGCACAGTTTTTTCAGATCGGCATCGGATCGGTATCGGGCAAGGTAAAAAAGTAGAGAGAGAAAAAAATATCAAGTATCGGATCGGAAGTAGAAAAAAGTGGATAGGTGCATCTCTAGTAACAACCTCAGAATCAAAGTTTATTTTATTACACGGAGTGCCAAAAGTAATTTCACACAATAAGTTCAGATGTTTTGATTAAAACACGATGTAATAAAAGTGTCAACTATAATGTTGATAACATAAAAATAGTTTTCAGTACGATGTTTGAACTTCTGCTTATTTTTGTAATTAGTCACAGAAATATAAAATGTTGTCCAGGACGAGCTAATGAACTGATATTCAGATAAAACTGATAAAGTGACTAACTTACCCACTGAAAGAGACTTTAGTTTATTTGAAATTGCTCTCTGTGCTGACTGCAAGTGTCCCTGTTAGCAAAATAATCTTAACCACTGGACAAAACAAAGTAACCATGTACAACTTTAGAACTTTAGCAAACATCCAAAGTAACTTTATTTTACAAACATTGAGCTCAAATCTAATGCAGTAATAGCCGAGATTCATTTCCAGCACATACTCAAAACAGGTGCACAAGGTGTTTAATGTGCACCGCAGCCGATCAGATGCGTTCGTTCAGTGTTTTAATTTGAGTGTTACAGCGCTGCTGTGTGAAGCTGGTCTGTAACGTACTTTTGTTCCTCAGGTGTGATGTGTTCAGTCTCATCAGCCCAGAAAGACGAGCTGGTCCTGGAGGGGAACGACATCGAGCTGGTGTCAAACTCAGGTGTGTCCATCCAACTTTTTCTTTATTTAATCTACATGACAGACACAGTCTAAATGTTTTTTTGTGTGTGTGTTTAAACTCAGACTGGATGCACAAGGTTGTTTTATAAATGAGTTTAGAGAAAGTGGTACCGTCACAAACTCCTAAGAGCCTGTTTAATCTGAGTTATTGTGTATTCATCCGTGTCAAAGTATCTTAAGGTACACTACATTGCCAAAAGTATTTACTCACCAATCCAGATTATTGGAATCAGGTGTTCCAATCACTTCCATGGCCACAGGTGTATAAAATGAAGCACCTAGGCATGAAGACTGTTTTTACAAACACTTGTGAAAGAACGGGTCGCTCTTGGGAGCTCAGTGAATTCCAGTGTGGAACTGGTAGGATGCCACCTCTGCAACAAATCCAGTCGTGAAATTTACTCGCTCCTAAACATTCCACAGTCGACTGTCAGCTGTGTTATAAGGAAATGGAAGTGTTTGGGAATGACAGCAACTCAGCCATGAAGTGGTAGATCATGTAAACTGATGGAGCAGGGTCAGTGGATGCTGAAGCGCATAGTGTGAAGAGGTCACCAACTTTCTGCAGAGTCGACCACTACAGACCTCCAAACTTCATGTAGCCTTCAGATTAGCTCAAGAACAGTGAGCAGAGAGCTTCATGGAATGGGTTTCCTTGGTCGAGCAGCTGCATCCAAGCCATACATCACCAAGTGCAATGCAAAGCTTCGGATGCAGAGATGTAAAGCACGCCGCCTCTGGACTCTAGAGCAGTGGAGGAGCATTCTCTGGAGTGATGAATCACACTTCTCCATCTGGCAATCTGATGGACGAGTCTGGGATTGGCTGATTGCCAGGAGAACGGTACTTGTCTGACTGCATTGTGCCAAGTGTAAAGTTTGGTGGAGGGGGGGATCATGGTGTGGGGTTGTTTTTCAGGAGCTGGGCTTGGCCCCTTAGTTCCAGTGAAAGGAACTCTGACTGCTTCAGCATACCAAGACATTTTGGACAATTCCATGCTCCCAACTTTGTGGGAACAGTTTGGAGCTGGCCCCTTCCTCTTCCAACATGACTGTGCACCAGTGCACAAAGGAAGGTCCATAAAGACATGGATGGCAGAGTCTGGTGTGGATGAACTTGACTGGCCTGCACAGAGTCCTGACCTCAACTCAATAGAACACCTTTGGGATGAATTAGAGCGGAGACTGAGAGCCAGACCTTCTTGTCCAACATCAGTATGTGACCTCACAAATGCGCTTCTGGAAGAATGGTCAGAAATCCTCATAAACACTCCTGAACCTGTGGACAGCCTTCCCAGAAGAGCTGAAGCTGCTCTAGCTGCAAACTGTGAACCACCATCATACTAAACCCTATGGATTAGGAATGGGATGTCACTTAAGCTCATATGTGGGTCAAGGCAGGTGAGCAAATACGTATGGCAATGTAGTGTGTGTTTATTTATTTAAAACGTGTTTAAAGTGCTTTTGGTTCATTTTTATAACAAATGGACACAACACCCTGATGCATGCTCAATAATCCAGGTAGAAAAATCTAAAAAAAAATTAAATCTGGCCCTCTGGACATTCAAAAAAACAAAACAAAGCAAAACAACAACAACAAAAAACAAAACAAAAAAAATTTGTTTTGCTTTTTGTTTTTTTGAATGTCCAGAGAACCAGATTTAACTTTTTCAAATGGACACAACAGTATTTAATCTTGAACTGTTTTCTGCTGCGACACTCATCACCTCGACTCCTTTGTTGCAGCCGCTCTGATCCAACAGGCCACCACAGTCAAAAACAAGGACATCAGGAAGTTCTTGGACGGCATTTACGTTTCTGAGAAGGGAACAGTGTTGGAAGCCGACCAGTAAAAGTTACGTCTGAGGTTAGATGACGCCATCAAAATCAGCCTCCTTCCTCAGAGAAGCGTCTGCTCTGCTTCTCTTGTTACTGGCGTGTCTTCATTTTGTTTCACACTAATTGATCCGATAGGCCGGGGCACTGTTTGTGACCCAGAGACGGTTTGTTTTAGTTTATGTTTACCTGCTGCCTGAGACCCCTGCATCAGTCTTTTATGTTGGTCTCTTGAGTCTTCACAGCTTCCACCTTAATTTAATTTAGTTGTAAATGATTAATTTTGTCTTCGCTGCATGAGTCACGCTGTCAGTTTTCTAACCACCTGTATGTTCTGAAATGAGGCGTTTGTCTCACACCCAGCTCTTTTGTTGTTTTTCGTTTTAGTGACATTGATCCATCAGGCCACCACAGTCAGAAAGAAGGACATCAGAAAGTTCTTGGATGGGATTTACATCGGCAAGAAAACCACTGTGGTGGAGACAGATGTTGACTAAAATCTCACCTGTTAATAACCAACAAAGAATAAAGTCTTTTTCCAACTTATAACATTTCTGCATGATGTCATTATGTAAACTTTACTGTGCTGCATTTGAGTAAATATTAATTTAAAGCATTACACAATGTAGTTTGTGTAGTGTGAAATTTATCAGTGCGCCACTTTAAAAACATGAAAGTTTTACCAACAGATGGAAAGATTTGAGCGTTCACATTAATTCACCGACAGTCCGTCTGCCGTGTGCAGCATGTGGATTCTGCACAGTTCATGACAACACTGATAAGTTTTAATATTTAAAGGTTGAGCTAGATTTGTAGTTGTAAAACAAAAATGTTGCCATTTTCAGGATAGTCTGTACGGGGGGGGGTTTAACAATGAGTATTTCTGATTTTTATCACTTTTTAAATTGCTTAGTTTGACAATTCAGTGCACAGCATTTAGTGAACATGGGTGAAAGTTGAAGAGTGATTTGATCTAAAAGTGATTTACCAGGTTATATATATAAATCTTGATTTAAAATCCAGTCCTGGTGGTTGAGGGCAGCCACTATCCTGCTTGTTTTACTTGTTTCTCAGCTCCAACACCTGATTCAATCGTTGGAAAAACCTTTTCACGTTCTGCAGAAAACTTGAATCAGCATTTATTCAAATCAGGTGTTGGAGCAGTAAAACATCTAAAGCATGCAGGATGGTGGTCCTTGACCAGGACTGAATCCAATCTGCTGTATTTCACCTAATTTATACTTTTGTTTTCATTGTAACTACGAAGACTTAAGTACTGGATGCAGGTATTTTAAAGTAAGTATCCTAAGACGACGACCTCGTCACTGAAGGCCACATAAAGAAAGTTACTGGTGTGATGTTTGTGATTTAATGTAAAACTGGTTCGTTTCGTAGCATTATGTCTACGGTTTAAAAACAGTTGATTTTGTATCAACCCACAACAAGACTATTCAAGTGACGGCCCGGGGGCCACATCTGACTGGTGTGTGAGCTCAGTCCAGCCCACTGAGTTTAAAAGAAAACTAATGTTAAACCATTTCAAACATCTGACATGACAACTATTCCAATCTATGAGGTGATTATATTTTATTAAAACTAGAGCTAGATTCTAAATATTCAATTAAATGTACATAATTATTGCTGATAGCTGGGCCCTGAGCTGTTGGCTTTCAGTAACTGGGCCTCAGATTTCACTGAATCACCCTCGGAAGACTGTTGACTCAGACAAAATGATTTTAAAAACTTATTTGTGGTATAAGACAGTGGATAAAGTCTCATTGGCTTTAGAAGAAATAATTGCATGTGTGCATACTGGAGCTTTACTGAATCTTGTGATTATTCCTCATGTCCCACGAAGTGCTTCTCAAAACAAACCATTTTAAAAACTTATTTTAAATTACAAGCTTTGATGCACTTTTATTTACAGCATCTAGTGTGGCTTACCTTGTTTTTTAAGATCTGCTTTAATTTGGTAGATTTTTAAATCTTGACTTGGGAGACTGACATAAAAAAAAAAACTTTTGTTCTGAACATTAACTATTTTGTATTGCATATATTTTCTGTTAAAACAGACTGATTTGAAGTAAACTAATGGTAAAGAGTTAGCTGGTGCAGGAAGAACAACCTCAGTTCAATTCAGTTTGTTTATATAGCACCAAATCGCAACAAAGTTGTCTCAGGGCACTTTACACAAATATTCACATACATAAAAGCCAGTTAGTAAAGTTATCTAAGGAATCCAGCAGACAAGTTGAATCTTGGCTTCATTGCAGTCTCCCATCCTGAGCAAGCACAGTGGTAACAGTGGAAAGGAAAAACTCCCTTTTAACAGGAAGAAACCTCCAGCAGAACCAGGCTCAGGACAAGCGGCCATCTACTTTGACCGGCTGGTTGAGAAGACAGGAAGGAGACAGACAAACATAGAATGGTAGGTCCAGGTATAGGTCCAGGTGTATCTGAAAGACAAAAAAACACATGTTAAGGATAGAAAAACAATTACAAATGTTGAGCAGAGTAAGTAAAGACAGTAGCAGAGTGAAGAAGTGTGGTCAGTTTGTCCTCCAGCAGTCTAAGCCTATAGCAGCATAACTAAGGGACAGCTCAGGAAACCCAAGCCGACCCTAACTCTAGGATTTATCGAAAAGAAAAGTGTTAATCCCAGTCTTAAAACTGGACATTGTGTCAGCTTCATGGACAGAAACTGGAAGTTGGTTCCACAAGAGAGGAGCCTGATAACTGAAAGATCTGCCTCTCATTCTGTGTTTGTAAATTCTAGGAACCACAAGTAAACCTGCAGCCTGAGAGCGAAGTGCTCTGTTAGGAAAATATGGAACAATAAGACCTGTAATGTAAGATGGAGCTAGGTTGTTGAGAGCTTTGTAGGTTAGAAGTAGAATTTTGAATTCTATTCTGGATTTGACAGGGAGCCAATGGAGAGAAGCTAAAACTGGGGAGATGTGATCTCTCCTACTAACTCCAGTTAAGACTCTGGCAGAACCATCTTGTATCAACTGAAGACGTTTTAAAGAAGTATTTGGACACCTCCACATCAGTGTGAAGATGATGATGATTGTGGAGATCATAATTCAATTCAGTTTGTTTATATAGCGTCAGTTCACAACTGAAGTCGTCTCAGGACACTGAACAGAATCAGTTATAGATATAAAAAAACATTATTTATCTGAGGAGCAGACTGCTTTGAGTTTAACTCCATTGCAGAACTCTCATCTTGAGCAAGCATGAAGGCGACAGTGGAAAGGAAAAACTCCCTCATGAGGAACAAACCTTTAACAGAACCAGGCTCAGGATACGAGGCCATCTGCTTCGACTGGCTGGGTTTGAGAGGAACAGATACACAATGACATGCATGTTAAGATAGAAATAATATCAAATGAAAACTATTCAATTTTAACAAATCTTTTAAGAAAATTAGGTCAATATATCCTCTAGTAGTCTAAGCCTATAGCAGCATAAAAAGTCAATACTAACTATAGGATTTATCGAAAAGAAAAGTCTTAATCCCAGTCTTAAAACTGGACAATGTGTCAGCCTCACGGACAGAAACTGGTTCTGTCGTGTTATTTAATACACGCGTGAGTCCTCTGTAGTTTAAAGCGTGTATTTATTGTCTCGTGTCCAAAACACACCCCCCACACACTTCCTGCTCACGTCATTTCCTCAATAACGGTTACATCACATCCAGTATAACAGTTACACCACATCTCCCCTTTCTAGAATCAGTGGGTAGACTGTCACTGATCCAACAGTACTTTAGGGGATTATTCTGCCCCTGTGGCTGGAAGGTCTGCTCCTATCTAAATCCTAAATCATCCAAACACCCCAACAGACACTGCATTTTAACCTTAGCTGATAAAGTGTTCCAAAACATTACAAACAATATTTAACTGTATTAACTCTGAACCCTGAGACTAGAACAGTTACATTCAAACAGTGCAAAAGCATACATGTTCAGTTACAGTGTAGTGAACCTGATCTGAACCTGATCTGACCTCAAATCTTGATCAGATGAACAGTGACTGTTATTTCATTGATCTTCATCCAGAAATACAGTTTGAGCCATCTGGTGACTTTCTTTCTTGAATTAATCAAGCAGAAAAGACAATTCTCTATAATCATTACTGTTTTACAAATGTTTGATAATCAAATTGTGTTAGTTCACTCAATGTTACAGGTTGAAGAGAACTACTCATTTTATTTTACATAAACAGTAAGTAATGATTTTTATTCCTCATTCAAAGAAGAAATCAGGTTAATATGCATTTCTTGATTTTTCTGTCTGCAATGTAAGTATGTTAAAGGTCGGTTCTCGGTCAACTAAAATGTTTACCGAGAAAAATGTCATGTTTAAACTTTTTCAGAAGATAATAAGAGTGAGACTCCACGAAGTCTGAAGTCCTACAATAATCTTTCTGTTTGTCACTGAAACAATCCTTGACTTTTAATAACATCTTACATCATACACCACACCTCTATTCCTGGTCCATCGACCAATCAAAAGCTCTCAAATGACCCGGAAGTTGACCCATTTAAAATGTGGCAACTTCCCAGTTCATGTTAGAGTTGCAAGAGTCCGAGGGTCCAAGAGTCTCAGAGTGATGGAGGTTCTGAAGAAGTTCTAGAGTCTGAGAGTTCTGAAGGCTGAAGGAGAAAACTCTGATGTCTGAAGCCCAGAGTGCTTCCGTTGGAATACAGAATGCAGTGACGATTTTGGGATTATAACTTCTGTTTGAACAACCTCGTACGACTCTCTAAGGGTTTGGCAGTTCTCACGGAGACGCTGAAAGAGTCAGAAAGGAACCTACGCCGACGCTGATTTCATCGTCAATCAGGTAGAAGGTTCTATTTTCGACTAAGTGTACCGGAGGCCAGCTGAGATCTGATGGAGCGTGCACGTTTTCTGGTCAAACAGATTAATTCCCTCACAAATCTCTCTGTAAGATAAATCTCCATTTCCATCTTAAACTCTGCTTTCTCCTAAAATCAGTACAGATATTTAGAAATATCTGAAGCTAAGTCCTCAATCACCGCCGTGTGATTGAAGCCCATTTTCTGTGAAACTTGTCTGTTATTATTTTCATATTTTGCCAAATTAATGTAAATGTTTGATGTTAAACTTTGATTCTGAAAATAAATGACCGCATTCATTTGATGGGTCAAACATAAATAACGTCTCTCGTTACATTTCTGTTAAAATTCAATGCACGACATTTACACAGTCAGAAAGATGAGGAACTCGTGAAAAAAGTATGAACATATATCTCGTATATGTACTACTACAGTTGGTGGCCCGTACGTGCTCATAAATGACTGTAAATTCGTGTAAAAGATTGATTTTTTACATGTTGGCATATAAGAAAAGTAACAGTTTATCAGCTGTGAAGAAACGCAGCTCATGCTGCACCGCCTGAAGCGAAACGCTGCATGTTTTTAAGCGTGTTGGTCTGTGGAGCTCAGGGAGCTCACAGAAAGCTGAAATAGTGTCATAAGTCTTTATGAAAGCTGAATTTGTACGACTGCTATGTGTAGCTAAGCTTATGAGCTGTGGGAAACGTTGATTCTGTTTAAAAGTACGGAGGTTCTGCTGAAAGACCAGGACTGTGGTCCAGTTCGGTTCTGTTAAGTTTGAACGAGTATTTTGAATAGATGGATAAACGTTTTAAAGACTGGACGAAGTCTCAGCTAAGCTCAGAGTTTATTCGTTACATTTTTTAACAGAAAAAGTGCATTTTGACAGTTTAAAAGACGAAAAAGTGACGAACTGATTTTATGCTAATCTAACATGCTAGTTGTTACTAACATTTCGTGATTGGTTGAATATTGCTACTGTGGAGCGCTCTGATTTGCTGAGAAGGTTGACTGGCGTGGCTACGTCATCCCCTCTCAACCCTGCGCTGCTTTGCCATTGGTGATTTCAGTCACGTGACCCGGAAATGAAAATCCGTTTTCATAGGGATATAAAATCTGCTTTTTAAAGCTGAAAAGCGCTTTAAAAGTGTATTTTGATACGCTGGTTAAGTCCTTCAAAGCATACTCGCTGAAATTTTGCCACGTTAGAGTTTAAAATCCGTCATTAAATGAGGTTTTTTGAACAACGCTAGCGATGCTAATTTTAAGCTAACAGCTAACGACCGAAGCCTTCACTATGCTTAAAATCACTAAATAAAGCTGCAATATTGTTCCACAAAACTCATGTCCATGTTATAAAGTCGTGCTTGTTGAAATTTTGCCACGTTTGTGTAAAAAATTCGTTCAGAAATGTTGATTT